AGACAGCTACTGTATGTGCAAAACTAGCATGAATCTTCTCCTAGAAACTGGGACCATACAAGCCATCCGTTTTTCTTTTCTGCAAGTGCTGGTGAGTGGAGCGAGGGCCTTAGGGCCACTGCACGTAAGAAAAGGGGAAAAAAAAACGAGACAGCTACTGTAGTGTTTGTAGTAAGTTCGTAACCCATAACTCTTGGAAGACGGACCTGAATCCGAATCCAGTGTATATTGCTGGCCTGCTCGAGGTGCAACGAATATGAGGGTGAACGATCTACAGAAAACCAAGTTGCGAAATCACACAGATGTCCAGGTAGTCGTATCCAAGCCGAGAAGTACGAAATGCACCGAGAAACCATCCATATAGAGAAATACAATGAAATAATGAGCCAATGTCCAAGCCCGCAGGCCACACCAACACAGTATCCAAAGTCGCTCCTCTCTGTCTGGAGCGCCCAACCTACTCTGCCCGGCTATCCTACCTACAGCTGGTTCACGCAACAGGTTCACTTCGACTCTCGAAGACCAATGTACATGACTGTCAACTCCATAGCCGACCTTTCTTCATGCACCAGGTACGTATCTCGTCACTCTCAATCAGATCCTGATTACCCCACACAGTGCCTCCTTCCCTGAAGACCGACCAATCACCCGCTGTACCCCCTGGCGCCCAGCAGCCCGGCTATGGCCGCCTGCGCCCCGCTGCCCTGCAACGCCCCACCTCTACTTGCCCCGTCAGCGCCTTTGGCAGCAGCGCAGCATCAAGCGAGAGCGCAGCAGCACTTCCGCATTGCCAGCACTGGCCAGAATGCCTGGCCTGGGCTGCCTCACTCCTTTTGTGGAAGTGGCAGCCTCCTGGATGCTGCGTGTGGCCTGGCTGGAAGCTTCCAGTAGCTTCCGGTTGGGTCCCAGACCCTGCGCCCAGGCCCGAGACTACAGTTGAGGGCCTGGGCCCTTTGCAGTTAGGCACGGCCTGAGTCTCCGGACTTGGGCTGTTTGCTGCATCTGTGCAGGCCTCCCAGGCAGGTGCATCGGCACTACTGCTTTTGTAAAGGCCGATGGCCTGCTTCCCAATGTATCGGCCCTGCTTTGTGTATGTGTGCCCAGGCGCAACTGTCAAGGCCTTGGCCAACTGTATGACTTAGCAATGTGAGGCTCATGCGTCTACCCAACCAACTGGCGTGCTGCGAGAGCCTGAATACCCACATATGGAAATGTCGAATTTTGCCTTTGACGAATATTCAGGCCCGCCTTCACTTAGGGCGGGCACTTGGCTTGCTGGGGGCCTTAGCCCAGAACAATGTGATGTCTGATAGGG